ATATTTAGTCTGGTAGATGAAAAAAAGGATATGAACAACAATTAAAATATACAAGTTACTTTAACATTTTTTTTATCTTTCTTTTTTGTTTTTCCTTTTTATTTTCTTATTGCATTGCTTTTAGTATATTCATTTTCACTACAATACAACTTAACCTGTTAGTGCACTCAAAAGTAATTTGATAAGCATTCTTGTAATGTGTCATCATCCAAATATTATACAAGCATACAAGAGGAATTGTTATTACAAATTTAAGAAAAAAAAATGGTGGGGGTGCTAAATAGCAGAAATGCTAGGTGGTTGATTTTGCCTAGCAGCATATCAACCTCTATGAGCAGAAATGTATATTTACTTATAAATAAGTGTCTGGAAAATAACTTTGGCTGGAATTGTTTAAAATGGGATTGACAAACTTGATAACTTTCATTTGTTTTTTTCTTTTTAAAATGAGATCTACCTGGAGTTTTTTAAAAAGGTAAATACTCAAGAAATTACTTTTCATTGGGTAAGATTATTTCATTATGAATTAATAAGACATTTTGAACTAATTTCATCTTAAAAAAATGAAAATGATTTCAACACTGCATCAATTTTTCTTTCTTGGACAATAAATTTTCTTTGTTGCTTTTGTAGTCTGATTCAAATTTTAAATGAAAGTTCCAACTCTTTAAAAGTAGGAATTATGGAAACTGATTTTTCAAGAGTATTTTACATCAAACAAAGTTTTTTTTTGTTTTTCTTTTTAAATAACAAGTCACTTCAGGATATTGGTAATAGTAGCTCTCCAGTTTTTTCTGTAAACAATTTATTGTTATAATATTAATTGGAAAATATTGTGGAGTGGTTACCAATTGCTTTCTCCAAAGTTTTGAATTCAAAGTCATCATTCACCTCAACTGGTTGCCAACAAAGGCTAGAAAGTTAAGTCTGCACTGCTATTTAACTCATAGCTGATGGAAAAAGAGAAGCAGAATTTTGTCTTTCACCAAGAGGAATGGGGAGAAGTGAAGAAAACAATCTCAGCCAAAATGAGAGCCCAGCTCAGCAATTCCATTTTCTGCACTGATAACCATTCATCCACCTGGAGGTTTTGGTCAGTAAAGTTGCAAAATATGTAAAATTGTCTTATTTAAATTAACTCCTTTTTTCCTGTTTGGAATCCTGATTTTCCAAAATTGTTTCATAATTTCTAAAACATTCATGAAAAGTTAATAATAGTAATGTGGAACAGTCAGTTTTTCCAAGTGGTGGTGGTGTGTGTGTGGGGGGGTCTCAATATACAAACAACCACGTTAATTCACTAAATTGTTCAATACGTGAGTAATTGAAATATATATCAATAGCCTAGTTGATTAAAGCACTGGTTTGTGAATTTGGCAACATAGTAATTGTGATTTCAATCTCTGTGCCGGGCAGTGTGTACTTGGACTCAGTGGAAACAGGGCAAGCAATAATAATTAAAAAAAAAAAAAAAAAAAAAAGAACTAGACGAAATATCTCTAGACAAGGGCAGTGGAACAAGAACAGGCTACACTTGTAGATTAAATGAAGGTTTCAGGTCAGAATTCCCTGTAGGTTTCCTGGGTTGACATACACCTGATGAAGGCTGAAGGGCACTATGGCCGAAATATTATGAGAATAACAACAAAGTTGAGAACAATGAATTCAGACATAAAATATCAAGAAGTAATCTATTCAAAAGCTACATCCAAAGTTCATATAAAAGCGTGAAAAAAATGAAAAATACACAAATTAAATAACAAATACATACATATGAATGCTGAAATAAAGCAAGAAAATCCAGCACTATTGTATCCCATCTACTGGGAGTATTAGCTCTAAGGCAGCATTCTCCAACTACCAGTCTGTGGACCAGTACCAGGCCATACAGAAATGCCAATGACCATTTGGTACCAGGCCATACAGAAAGAATAAAAAAATCCCCCCACCACATTTTATTGACCATCATAGTTTTGTTTATTATGTCATATGCGTGAGACTGACTAAAGCTCCTGGAAAAATTTTCTTGCATGACACTGGTTCATGGTGCAAAAACGTTGAGGACAGCAATTCTAAGGTCATCATACAACTGTTTTGTTTTTGTTTAAATTATTGATTCACTTATATAGGGTGTGGCAAAAATAGCCCCCACATATATTTCTGCCATATCCTATATAAAGAAAGACATTAGCTAAATGAAGACATGATTGCAACAAATGTCTTATTATGTGGGAGGTATTTCTGCTGCACCCTATACTATCAGGGGCAATTTCTTTTCAATTAATCCAAAATTAATTTTTCCTAAGGATATATTTATAGAACTCATGATACTATGTACTAGTTCGGTGGAGTTCAGTTTTGACAATATTAAGTATAGTCAAGTGGATGGGGTCCAGATGGGCAGTCCCCTTGGCCCTGCATTGGCTGATATTTTTGTGGGCTACCATGAAATGTTACTTTTCGGCAAAGTGTCTAAACTATTTGTTTACGTTAGATATGTTGATGACACCTTTGCAACATTCTCTAATAAAAGTGAGGCTGTTGAGTTCTTTAATGAGCTCAACTCCTTACACAATGGTTTGTCTTTCACTATGGAAGGGGAGAAAGACAATTGTCTGCCTTTTTTGGATGTTTTTGTTGAACGCAGTAGAGGTGGTTTTATTACTAGCATTTATCGTAAACCCACCTTTACTGGACTTTATTTGAATTGGCGTTCATTTGCTCCTGCATCAAGGAAAATTAATCTCGTTAAAACCTTGGTGTATAGAGCGCTTAAAGTGTGTTCCCCTATTAGATTGGACCGTGAATTTGGGAACATTAGGGAGATTTTCCTTAGTAACGGCTATCCGGAGGCCCTTATTGACTACATTATAAGTAAGAAAACTAAGGAATTTCATTCCCCTAAAATCCAGGGGCCTTCTAAATGTCCGGTTTATTTGAAGATTCCCTGGATTGGGGATAGTGGTCAGGGCTTAATTAAGCAGGTTGGCAAGTTGGTTTCGGTTGTTTCCATCAGTTGCTTTACGTAGCATTTTTCAAACTAGGTCTGCGTTTCCGTCTTTTCGCAAGGATGTATTGCCCTACATCAAATTGAGTAATTTAGTCTATGAATTTAATTGCCAGTGTGCTGCTGGTTATGTGGGGCATACAACCTTGCATTTGGAAACTAGAATTAATCAGCACGTTCCTTCCAAAATACGACTTGGTAAGATAGATAGAATATGCTATCTTCCCCCATGAATATGGAATGGCTATTGCTCAACATTTAGTTGAGAATATAGCTTGTGCCAAGTTGTATAAAAAAGAGTGGTTTAGAATTATTCATACAGCCAATTCAATAATCATTTGAAGATTTTGGAATCGGTCTGTATAGGATTTAGAAAACCTCTCTGCGGCAGAAAGAATTTATAAGGTCTCTAAATCTGTTGGGGGATATTTTATTTTAACTGTCCTCGCTATTTATTTACACGATAACCCTTCCCTCGTTACAAGTATATATACTTGTTCGTTATTTTAGTGTGTTTCCCCTCTTTTTGCTCTTCAATATCGCTATTATTCATTTCGCTGATCCAACGATTGTCTCCTGATGAGATGTTGGCTGAAAGGGCTCTAGAGACTTTTTAATATTAAAATCAATGGTTTCCTAGTTTTTAAAACTATATATATATATATATATATATAGTAAAAAAAAGAACAGTAAGATATGTAATCCGGTGCTCTTATTGATATTTTTATTTTTTTTACAAAAAAGTGCTCAATGTAAATTTACAGAGCATAAATATCATAAATTAACTGATTTAAAATATTTTTAAATCAGTTAATTTATAATATATATATATATATATAAAATATAATATAATATAAAACATGAAAAATTTGTAATCTAAGTTCATATGATATGAAATGAGTAGAATATGGAGACTGAGTTGATGTTGAGGATGCTCCCAGCTACTTAAATCCATATGTAGTTCAATTGCAGTTATTCAAATTTCTGCTCTTTGAGCAAATTTAATTTTCCTAATGTGGGAAAAAAAAAAATTGTTATTCAATTTGTTTAGCAAACTGTTCATCCCACTGTATAAAAAGGACTATCAGAATTATCATTTGCAAAGAAAAAACAAAAATAAAAAAACAAATTATGGGTAACCAAGAGCTGAAGGAACAAAACTTTTTAGTGCAAAAGAAAAAAAAAAAAGCACGACACCTTGAGGCCAAGAAGCAAACAAAAGAAAGAACACATTCAAATACATTTGCAGTCAAACAGTGTGAGTTAAGAGATCCAGATTATAAAGAAACTAATTATTTTGCATGTTTGAAATGATCACAATGTGAGCAGGCAATTTAAATGTACCATAAAAGTACATTCCTTTTTCAATATACCCAACACTAAGTGAAGTACAATCAGAAGAATTACTTTTTAAATTCAATCAAAGAGCTAAAAAGTCATGCACCAAAAGAAATGCAAGATCATTTCTAGTTTTACATTCTTGTAACCAATTTTTATTTTTTTTTTGCCATTAATCCAAAACATTTTCTTAAAATGTTTAATGACCAGAAATTTTATGTAAACAAAAAAAATCTCCTTACTAAGATTTTAAATAAATTTTAAAATATTTTATTAACTACTTTACCTATACTATGAAATAATATAACTTTGAAGTAATTTTATTACATTTATATTTCCTGTGTAAGTATTATAGTATTTTTACTTATACAATAAATACTATTGCTGCATATAAGAAAGGATTCTGCTTTTTAAAATAATTAAAATTAAAAAAATATCCCAATAAGCTAATATAAAGCAAGAACTATAAGCATTAACAGCTTGATCAATCTGGAATGTTATTGATCCTGACCTAGCAGAGCTCAAATTCAGTCAATTTCCCACTGATATAACATTGGTTCCCCTGTGCCTTTTCTATAAATACTTTCATGGAAATTGTTCTGTTGAGCTTTCCAATTTCAAGCCATTATCCATTACCCCACTCACACATCCAAGTTTACAGCACCTGGTATTTCCCATTCTGTCACCCATCAAGGTACTGACCAGGCTCATTGTTGCTTAACTCTGGTGATCTAGGAGAACTGGGGTTTCAAAGTGATATGGCCATAAGCCACCACTTCTAATACTCAATACAACTAACTATATGATTATTAGAGTAAACGAAAGTTTTGATGTATTCGACTATTAAATCTTACCTATGATATAGCAGCATTATATATATATATATATATATATATATATATATATATATATATAAGTACCTACCAACAATATTGAAGCATAAGCTAATATATATTTTACTAAGATATTTACATTCAATTATGAAAACATTGAGAAGTTTTAAATTTCTGCCAAGTTTGACAGCCACAACCATGGCAATCTTGAAACCTCTAAATATATTAAGAAAAAAAATATTAAATCAAATTGTTCTCGAGAAAATGTCAAGCTAATTAATTACTTTTGATTGTTGAGCATGCATAAAACTAAGATTTACAACATGCTATAAAATCTTCAAAGCAGTGTTATTAATTGACTTTTGAAAAATTTCATATTCAACCAGCACAAACACCCACCCAAAAAATTTGGATTAATTCTAAAAAACTAAAAAAACATACGATCAAATTCATATCATCTTTTTCCAAGTTTACAAACACACGTCATATATGCCTTGTCTATTTTGGAGAAAAGTAATAAGCCAAGAGTTATTTGTGCTATTAAACCCCAACTTGATGCTATTTTTTTTTTGTTGCTACTATATTTCAGGCAATTCATTTGTACAGCTTTCTTCTGGCATCATCATGAGTCCCACAACCATGTGTGGTCAACGGGTTACTTCAAAGATGGGCATCTGTCCAGTTCACTTCATTTATCTGGGTTAAAAACGACGTGTGTGTCCATAGAAGTTGAGCACCTCTTTATTTTACTGGGCTCTCATTTGCTGTGTGTGACAAGAGAATGCACTATATATATATATATATATATATATATATATATATATATATATATGTGTGTGTGTGTGTGTGTGTGTGTGTATGAGAGAGATGACTGCTGTGAAATATCTAAAAATAAATTAACATGGACTATATTTCACTCACTAAAAGCATCATCAGGAGAGAGCTGTTTCAACTTGAAGGCAGACTGCAAATCAATGTAATTTCTTCTCTTCAGTAACTTTGCAAATATCTCTTATCAGTCCTCTCCAAAAATCCATGTCCTGTGCTAATGTATGAAAATTCTGTTGGTCTTCTAAACTCTTCAAGATTTTTATGGAGAATAATGGAAATTTATCTATAGTTTTTTTGATGATATTGCTTAATATGCATACCATGGTTGTTCATTCAATGTCTATGAATGTTATTCTTCAATTTGTTATTGATGACAAAACCATTTCCATAAAAATTTACTATCCATTTCCAAAGCTATTAACTAATTACAGTCAAATTCCAATATTAATATCAAGTGCTTTGATTTTACTTTCTTAGAGACAACATACATAAATGTTATCACTATTATCATCCCAATAATTCCTGCCTTTCTTTTTGTTTTTACGAGTCCTCTAAAATTAAATTCCAAATGGTAAAACCTTTAAATGTAATTGGAGGTAGAGTTTTAAATAAGGAGTTGCTAACTATTAACAACCAGAGAAGTCATTACCTTCTCCACCAAAACTGTCTATATTTCTGAGATGAGGTATTATGTACATTATTTACATTATTCGGACTATTGTCACCATATTTATCACAATGTTTCGGCTGTTATACGCTCCGGCCTTCTTCAGGTGGTTGGAATTTCAAACTGAACCCTATATTTCGCTCATTGCCATGTGTCCTTGAGAACTTGAGGACACATGGCACAGTGGATAAAGGCGTTAGTTAGATCCAGTGACAGGACCCAAAGAGTGTGCGTTCAATACCCGGTTAAGGCAGTGGAGAACTTTCAGAGGGAAATTAGCAGGAGATAACTGATAACTGACACCCATCAAACATGGCACATGGAACTAGAAGTCTACCCCAGTGAGCAAAATATAGGCTTCAGTTCGAAATTCCAACCACCTGAAGAAGGCCGGAGCGTACAACGGCCGAAACATTGTAATAAATATGGCGACAAAGATGGGGACAATAGTCTGAATAATGTAAATAATGTACACCAAAACTATCAGAAAAACTGAAAAGAATAAAGAAAAATCGTTACCAAGATGACCTTGCTACTTAAAAATGTTGGTTAATTTACAAATTCTTGAAATTTAATAAAATTGAAAATATCTGAGAGCAAATTAATGACATTTCTACACACAGGAAAATGTTAAAAGAATATGTAAAATATAGTGATGTAGAAAAAGAAGTGAAAATTATGGTAAGAAAAATAAATTACATTTAATAATTATAATAATACAAATTATAATCATGTTTAATCAAAATCTATTTTAATATTTTCCTGATGCCAAAAATGGTGACACATTATAGAAACTTTCTTTTTTTTTTTTCCCCCCGTTAGATGAAACTGTTAGCCCAGGAGAGGAGTCCATCTAAGACAGTTGTTCCCAAACTTTTTTTTACTCTGTGTCACATTTTTGGAATTAAAATTCGCTTGTGCCTCACAAAATTTTATGTGATAAAAAATACATTTAAAAATGAAAAACAGAGAGTGGGTTAAAAGGGAGATAACCACAGATTCAAAGTTAGAACATTATCACTGATAACTCTCTCCTCCAATTTGTGGACCCTAGTTACTATATTCTTAATACTTGATGTAATGCAGAAATAATACAATGATAAAAATTTGTCAATAATTTTTTTTATTTATACTGGGACTCATGCAGGTAATTACAAGTAATCCATGATAAAATTTTAAATTTTGAAATCCTATTTATTTTTGGCATATGAATTTTTAAACTGTTTCTAAATCTTTGATTGTCTTTCAATAATTCCACCTCATCTGCCATCCTCTTCCGCCGGACATATGAGGTGTGCCACACCATTTGGGAATCACTAGTCTAAGAGAAGCAAAACTGATTTTAAAACTCTGCTGCCCTGTGGCTGTACCCAATCATGGGAAAGGCTTCAAGAGTAAATCTGAAGGCAAATTCTGAGCCAGAATTCCTAAAACACAAGCTATATTAGCCTCTACCTTTCTTGTAGACAACATCAGTGGCATAGAGAGGGCTGCATGGCCAACTGCTAATCTCTCATAAAACTCTGCTCATGCCTGCACCCTGTAATGAATACATTGTCAGTGTGTTACTCTACGGTAGCAAGACTTCAGTGCCTTTTTCATCTTCACTGTTTGAGATGCGTTCTGAGCATCAATTGGTCCAACTAGATTACCAATGCCATAGTTTTCACTTGTGCCTAGTTATCCAGCCTTTTCCAACAGCACCACCTCTACTAGCTTGGACAACAGTACAGGGAACTGGCCACTGGTAAGAAGGCAACCTCATCTTCACTTCAAGGATGTCAGTAAAAGGAACATGAGGACAATGGATATGGAGATCAAAAGATGTTGGCAACAATTGCTCACACTGGAAATGCAATTTAGAGGGCAGGAATGAGGAGAAGAGAAATGGAGGCTTGCCTCTGGGGAGACACGTGCTTGACAGAAAACAATACAGTGACATTGAGGGAGAACTTCACATGCATTCATTGCAATCAAGACTGTCACTCCAATGTGTGTCTGTACAGCCACAATAGACACTACACCACCATCAGCTGAAGCACAACTCTTTGGGTGCAGATCAATGGTCTCTTGAAACTGACAGATGCCACATACATGTAATGATTTGAATATGTTGTGAATATATTTCAGTTCTTTGTCTAAATGGGGGCTACATATTCTAAAGGCTTTGAGATGGAAAAAAAAAAACTATTATTGTGATGTGAATTAAAATGTAGGTGCTTATTTCTTGATTCTCAATATACTTTGAATTCTAATTTATTATTGGAGCTAATTAATGTCTAAAAATTGGTAGTCAGTTATTTTTTATATCAAAAGTTCATTTAATCTGCTGATGAAATTTTTTATATCAATGTTTTTGAGTCAAATGATTAAGACGTCATATATATTTGAAAGAAAGGTTCTTTAGAAAGATGTATGGAAATGAGGAAGATTAAAAATAAACATGCTAAACAGTTAAGCGGGCTAACGATAGGGAACCCCAAAAAAGAGAAAGGAGAAAAGAGGGGAAAGTGGGGAAAAGGAAAAGGTGGAAAAGGAAAAGGCGGAAAATAAGTGGGATGAGAAAATGTGTAAAAATTGAAAAAAATGGAAAAATTGAAAAAAAATGGAAAAATTGAAAAAATGGAAAAAGAAAAAAAATGGTTAAAAAGCAGAAAAGGGGGGAGTAGAAAAAAGTAGAAAAAAGGGAAAGATAGAAAAAGTAGAAAAATCGGAGGTGGGAGTAGAAAAGATGAAAAAAGGTAAAATAGAATAAAAAAGGAAAAAAGGAAAAAAAAACCTTTTCTTTTTACAGACAGAAGAACTCTGTAGAATGGATCAACTGCAATATTGTGGTAACAACAAAATCAACACAAAAAAATGAGATCAAAATTGCAATCAACTCTGGACAGTATTGAGAATGGGAGGGGTGTTCATCACTGCAGATATTAAAAACATTGAGAAATAATCAATACAATAAAAGTGTATTATGACCATTTGATTGTTTTATTTGTTTGATTTTTATACTAATAATATTTTAATCCCAAAGAAAGGCATTTTGGCTTTGCACTCAAATATTAAACAAAAAAAAAATAAAATTTTAACATAAGTAAAAATATTGTTTACAAATCTAATGTAGGCATCAATTTGTGAAGAATAGATTCAAAGAGCAGGATAAATTTACTTTTCCCATTTTTTAATGTCAGTTTTTTAATTTGATTTGAACCGGGTAAATCTGTCACCTTTCTCATTTCTACTTTTGTTTATATCACACACACTTTTGAGCAAAAATAGTATCTATTTATATGCAAGCCTGGCACAACAGGATGAGGATTATTCCAAAAGTGTTTAGTGTCCATCCAGATACTCCAGGATTTGAGAGAGATAAAATGTCTTTCTCTTCCTTCTCCCCCTAGTGCAATGGAAGAACAAACCAAAAGAAATTGTGCCAAAGTTTATGACTGACTGCTATGAAAGTAAAAAAGGGTGAGCCATGAAGGTTTCACCATTTTCCAAAGACAACATTAACAGATTGTTATTAGGATTCAAAATACATTACTATATAATATAATGTAGATAATATACAAATAATGCTCTCGTTCACACACACACAGGTTTAAACATAAACAATAAGAAAAAAGTAATCAGGCAAAAGATGAAAGAAAATACTGTAAAAAAGAAACAAATAAATATTGGTTAGTTACCTTTCGCATGCTGTCTTCCAGGCTCTCGGGTTCCATCGTGGCATTGGTACTTGTCACCCCACCACTGACCCGTTTCAAGGATTTTGCCACAGATGCCAAGAAACCTTCCCTGAAAAGAAAGAAAAAGGAAAATAAAGAAAAGAAATAACAGATACAAGTGGATTTCTACCTTTTCATTGTAAACCCCAGATTATCATTCTATGACCGAGAAGTTGGAATATTAATGTAGACAATGATAGAAAACTATATAATTATGCTTCAATTATAAATAAAAGAATTTGTTTGGATGATCACATAGAAATTCATTGTAGAAAGGAACTGGATATAGTAGAAGAACTGAACAGAAAAAAGAAAAGAAATAAAGGTTTGTTTTGGTTTGTTTTCAACCTCAATGGATCATTTAATGCTGACAACTTTTTTTTTCCTGGTAATATTTTTGTTTTATCAAAAATCTATTTCTGTTAATATTATTTTTTCAAAAACGTATTGCTGTTAATATTATTTTTTTCAAAAACGTATTGCCCATAGATGGGACCCTAACAGGTGCTACCACCCCGGGTCTGGGAACACCAGCAATTAAGAGGTGGTTCCACGCTCCTCAAAGCTTCATAATCAGAGGCCTTGCTGTTGGATGTAGTTTATCATCTTACCCTGGACACAGATGTAGTTTATCACCATACCCAGGATGGAAAGAAATAAAATCACAATTTCAAAAGGCAAGGTTTAAAAAGAATTTAAATGGTACATGGTGGAATTTTTCAGTTTCCACAAAACATTTTTTCTTATCTAAACAGTGGAAAGGAAAACAAGGAAATCCAATGGGCCAGTCATCAATATCTGATTGGTAAAACGATCTTAATTTCATTAATATTCAATGTTAATTCATATTCAGCCTTATATCAATAACAATCTTCACAGTCATTGTTAATCAAATACATCATCTGGTAATAGGTCAAAATTGTTTTTAAGTGACTGATGAACAACTTACAATAAACAGTACTTTCTTAATCAAAGTAATAGGAAAATAATAGACTTAAGACTACTAGTATATTACTAGTATATTAGTTTTAGATGTAAGCATAAAATTTAATGTTCATACCAAACGCAGTTTCAATTCTAGAGTTGAAAGAGAAAACAGCAAACTATAAAAATAATAAGATCAATGTTAAATGTAATTTAAAATACTCAGCATCTCTTCATTCATAAAGTAGTGACAAATGGGTGAGGTTTAATCAGATTTTCAGATGTTAATATTAGTTTTTACTTTTCTATTTCCTTTTTTAAATGTTGCCAATATTCTAATTTAACTTTTGCAAATGGATTTGTAAACATGTCCCAGTTGTGAAATGCTCTGTAAAACATTTTGTGTGGCCTGATCTAAACAATAACAAAACAAAAGGTAAAGGGCATATTTTGAAATGACATAACAACAGAAATCAGCAGGACGCAAAGTTTCGAGCATGTCCACAATAAGATGAAAGCAGAAGGTTTGGAGGGGGGGGGGTTGCATTTCAAGCCAAATTTAACAGAATGACAAACAACTGATCTTTGAAGACAGATGAAGAAGAATTGATGAAACAGCACACATCTAAAAATAAACTTGGAAAGATGGCTGATCATTTCAGATAACAAAAAAATATCCCACATTTGAGAAGCTTGAAAAAAAAAGAAAAAACAAACTGTAACATGAGGGAGAAAATAAAAAAGCAAAAAAATAATTCCACTTCTTAAGTACGTGTACATACATTATATAAACTATTAATGGCTAAGGTGTATACAAAATACAAAAACGCATTTGTTATGATGCCTAGATTAAGTTATCCAAGCACTTGGAAAGGTGTATGTGTGTGTGTATATATATATATATATGTATATATATATATATATTTGTTCTGTGTATATTTATGCAACTGTTTATTTTTTTTTTTTTTTTTTTTTTAACTTTTGGTGTTCTCACATTTGATGGAACTAATCTCAAATCACTCAAGGTGACGTCATTTAAACAGTCAAACTGAAATTTGTATGTTTTTTTTTTCTTTTACATGACAAATAAGCAAAATAATATTAACATAAGACAAATTTTAAATAAGGCACCGTGCAAAGAAAGACTCCAAATTTGTTACAGCTGTTGTAATAAATAAGAAACAGGCAACATTAAATAAGGTATCTTTCTTAATAGAAGACTGTATATTGAATGTGTTAAAAAAAACAATTTCAGTTTGACTGTTTCAATGAAGTCACATTGAGTAACTTGAAATTGGTTCCATCAAACATGAGAATGCCAGCATAAAAAAAAAAACAAGTTGCCTAAATAAACACAGAACAATCTTTGAAATTGAATGCAGCAACATTCAAAGTACTCTGCAAGAAAATAATATAAAATAAAAATATGAACTTTGGTAAATTTATCAATAACACAAAACACTTAATTCAGAAATTTGAAAAATTAAATAAAGAAATTAGTTCCATTAAATGTGTGTGTGTGTGTGTGTATATGCTGGAATTAAAAAAAACAGTTGTGTGAATATAAACAGAACAATCCTTGTAAATGAATGTAGCAACATTCAAAAGAATATATATATATATATATATATATATATATATATATATATATATATATATATATATATATATATACTTTTTATCAAGTAAAATAATAAAAAAGTAAAAATGTGGGCTGATTATTTTGTAAATTAATCCAAAAAGCACATTGGAAATTAAAGAAAAGAATTTGTTTCTCACATCATTTTGTGTCTGAAAAAAAGAGAATACAGAAAACAGAAATTTTAAACTGATTGTGAGTGGAAACAGAAAGAAAAAAGTTATTGAATTCTTTTTTGTCCTTATTCTAAGAGTCATCAACAGATCCTGTGTTCGTATTGACATACATTTGCATTAAAGTCGATGTATTTTAATTTATTCTATTCGTGTTTTATTCAACAAATTTGAGTGAAACAAGAAGAAAAAACTCAAAGTCCAAATTCAACTTTGTTTCCCAATGAACTTTATTTCTTTTTAGTATAAATTTCATTTTTTCAATATTTATTTAGAAATTCAAATATTACAAACAAAGCTCACTGCTAAAAATAAAATGAAAAATTTTAGTTGTGTTTCAGACACAGAACAGTTAGCAAAAGAGTTTATATATGTATGTGTATAGATATTGTAAGCCAATGAAAGAAAATCAAGACAAAAAAAAACAAGCATGATAATAGAAATACTACTATCACACACACATATGTATGTATGTATGTATGTATCTCCATCGATTTGCTGAAAAAATTAGCATATCATGATGAAAAAAAAATGTCCCAAACTTAATAAAAACAAAGCTTTATCACCAAAAATGTTTTTATATATATATATATATATATATAACACAAGAATTTTTTTTTTTAAAAAAAAGACATATTTAAAATAATTTAATTAATTTCTGAATAAGTCCTGAAATTTTCAATAACATCCAACAATTATTTGATTTTGGCAACAAATTTCCAAATCAATATCTTTTTCACATCAAAAAAGACACTAAAATGTCCTATACTAATCTTTGCTAAGAACTGATACAAAAATAAACAAAATTTTTTAATAAATTTCAAATGTTTTAAAAACAATTAAAAAATATAATTTAATAAAAAACATCCTTTGGTCTTTCCTCTTAATAAGAGATTTTGATGACCAAATTTTGTTTTTATTAAGTTCGGGGTGTTTTTAAATCAAGTATGGTCATTTTTTTTTTAGTTAACCTTTAATGGTATATGTGTGTGTGTGTGTATATATATATATATACACATACATACATAAGGATGAAACATCCTCATACCCTTTATATTCTATTAGTCAGAAGTAAGTTCCACTAAAACAACTTGTAGAACAAACTCCTGGAAGGATGTTTTTAAAAGCTCTACAATCTTGACCTCTAAGTCAAGTGTTAACCATTACCTTTCCAGCATAATGTCATGAATTTCACTTTTTGCCTTTTCTTATGCTCATACGACAACACACAATAATCCTCTACCTTGTGTACATATATGTAAAATCTTAGCAAACCACAAACATAAGAATACAGATGATTTGTCTATTTTCTTAAAACTTTACAGTTACAAAGGTTAAAACTATAATTTATTGAATAAGGACATCTCATTATTTACACTCAGTCTATTGTCTTCATCTTTGTTGTTGTTATTTTAACATTTTGACTGTTGTTCTCTCCAACCTTCTTCAGATGCTTGTTGGACCATATTACACCGTCAGTGAATTTCAAACTGAACACTAATCTACAGCTGTAGATGGTCCCTGTTTCCACTAAGAGCACATTAAACACTCTGGCAATCTAAAACAATTTTAAAAAAAAAAAAAAAAAAAAAAAAAGAAAAGAAAAAGAAAACAGCTATGAAAAACAGTCTAGATGTTGAAAAAAGAAGCTTAAACATCCTCAGAAACCATATGACCAAATCTAAAAAAAAATTCCTTTACTGGTCAACAAAATCATTCATACATCCCAACTAATCACTAGCCACTGCCTCTTTTCTTCCAGCATCAAATTTTTAAATAAAAAGTTTGATTTACTGATGAGAGCTTCCATAAGTGGTGTCCTTGAATGTCCGTTTTGAGAATTTCTAGCATCCAGACCAGTGATTCCCAAAGTGGGGTGTATGCCACACAGGGACGCAATTTGAGAATGAGTTACTAATATTGAATGTTTTCTAGTGAGTCTGTGAGTACATGAAGTGCATATACTGTATGCATACATAAAAATATTAGTGTGTATGTATGTCTATGTGTAACGATGTATGTACTGTATATAACACACACACATTTTTATAAATATTGTAAAATTCTAAAATTAAATAATACTATTGCATATATGCATTCTCAAATTCTTACAGATAGTTAATGACCTTTGAGGCCCCTTCCACGTGAATAGGAGTTCACTTTTCGAATAGTAATTATGTGACGGGGGTGGAGACATCAGAAGAAATGCTTAGGTGAGGCATGGACAAATAAAGGTTGGGAACTTCTGGTTTAGAATACCTATTGTGTGTGTGTGTGTGTGTGTGTGTGTGTATATTAGTAATACAATTTTTTAATGAATACTGTAAAATTCTA